GGGCTTTCAATGCTTCCCTACTTGCTCTTTTGCTGTGAGGTGAAGAAAACTCTCCTACATTTCTGTATCCCCCATTTTATACCCAAATTTTCAATGGCTAGGAGCACCTTGGTAGTGATAACAGGTGAAGGAATAAAGCAGAGAGAGACCAAACAATAACCAGTCTTACCACGAGAAGATTCCCTAGAGGAAAGGATGTCAACATATAAGATTTATTTCAAAAAATGAAGAGAAGGCTTAATTAACAGGAAGGATGAAGTGTGAAACCTACATCTTGATTGTGAGAATATAAGAGTCATTGACTAGGTGTTGAACTTGGCAGGTACCTTATGCACATGGTAGCCATCATGGCTTTAGTACTGATACCTCAAAGCAAGATCTACATGTTAAAATCCAACAGGTTCCCCACAATAGTCTATCAATTATAACAAGGCTCTCCTGATCAATTCTCCTTCTATGTGCTGAACATATAGTAAATACTTGCCTACACTTCACCCACTGTTCTCTCAGTATGTAAGATAAGCATTGTCATTTGTACTGAAATACAATTCTGACCAGAAAAAATTTCCATTCTCGAACAATATTTCTATTTAACTATTACCTACTTCATTATCTTTTATAAAATAAACGGTGCCTTTTTTCAACAGTATTAATTCATGCATCTGATGTATCCCTGGGCAAAGTAGAAGATACAGCCCCATCCTCTCTGAGGGCTTTACTGTGGGGAGGGAACCTGTTGCCATATCATTCCTCACCTTGGTTCTAACAAAGACTTCCTCTCTCTCCTTTAATTGTTAGAAGGTGGGTTACTTTCCTCTCCAAACAGCTGAGTGGAGGATACGGGTCCCATTAAGCACCACAAAGAGATAGGCTCACCTTGAATCTCAGAGTAAAATTTATCATCTGTTTCCTGAATCAAGGCTGTAGTCTGTTTTACTACAGAAGTAATAGCATCAGAATGGACAACCTATTACTTAAAAATTTTAGGTTATGCTGGGCACAAGGTGTTTGTGAGACAAACTCTTTAATAAAAATATCTGACAGGCTCTTCTATTAGAGTGACTGCTTGTGGCTATCCGCATCTAATATTAGCTGTAGAGTACATTAAAATGTCTTTGGCCAATTTTAGAGGGATGGACTGCAAGAGAAGATAGATTACTTCAGATTCTTTAAAAAGTCTTTTCACTTACATACAAACGAATATGAGGCTTAAAAAAATCACAAGCTATACATAAATTCAAATGTATTAGTGTTCAATCAGTTCAATCACACAATAGCATATTTATGAAGGAATGAATTAAAAATAATAAATACATTTTATATATTAGATATATTATATTAGATATATTAGATATATTTATATATCTAGATATATTATATATATATAATAGATATATTAGCTATATTAGGTATATTTATCTTTTGTAAGTATCTTAATATTGGGAATATACATAGATTTTAGTTATTAATATCTTTTAACACACGTGGAAAGACGCTATTTTTTTCTTTATATAGAAACATATTTTCAGTTTTTAATGGGAAAGAAATTCACCTTAGTCCATGTTTGTGGTGTGTGTGTGTGTGTGTGTGTGTGTGTGTGTTCTAAATGTTGGTAAAGTAATGGGGATTCACTTTCTCCAAAGTTAATTTCTTTTCATGACTATATAATTTTAACACCAGTAACCAGTAATAAGGAATGTCCTACTTTGAGCACAGCAGCGATGAACGACTGATATTTTCTTTTTCATATTATTCCCTGCTAAGACAGAGACCACTTTAAAATGGGCAAACCACAGACAGGAGGATTACCAGTGCATTCATTCTCCCCCAATTCCCCCCAAGACAAGAGTTCCCTGGACTTTGCAAACTATAACAGTAACCTCCACCCAGAATACTACAGCAAGATCTCCCACTGAACCTTGGCTTTATTAGGTTCGCTGGCATCTTCAGTGAAACACACTTAAAGCATCAGTTATTATGGTTATTTGGTATTGTCTTTTAAGAAACAAAGAATTATCCAAAAAAATGTAAAACAAAAGCAGTGAGGGTAGAAAGTTCCCTTCTGTGCTCTAACATGATCATCACTCTCGGAGAATCCCCCTGGTTATTCAGAGTAAGCAGACTGCTTGTTTATTCACAGAGATGAGTACTTCGTTCCCTGAGCAACTGCAGTGGAACCCTCCTTTACAAAGGACAGCCGGCCGGAAAAGGCTGGGTATGGGGTGCAAGTAGTTACTTCTTTCTTAATGCTCCTGGTACTGATGATGACAGGTATACATACCTCTTCTGATTCTGGAGACTCCAGCATGTTTTAACGCACGTCAGGTGATTCTAACAGTGAACCATAAGAGCAGAGTAATGGGCGAGTCCCCACCGTATGATACAATAGCAAACCTCTTGGAGGTATTAGTTACATCCCTATTGCTACTTCCTTGCAATCTGAGTCCATTTCTTTTTTTCACATGGAAAAGGTGCTTAACAACTCTCTGCATTTGGTCCACTTTGTTACCCTAAACCAATAATCTGGTTAAGAATAGACAGGAGGTTCCACCCAGGACCCTGCCAACCTATAAAGAACACAGACAGTGAAATCTGGTTCTAAAAATAAAGATCAATATGGTCTAAAGACATGTTTAGCTAATGACAAGAAGAGTGATGATTTTCTCATGAATAATACAGAGACCAGGGCATTCCGTCAAACCACACAGCATGACTGGATTTGTAACCATTGCTTTTTGCTGCTGGGATTCTCTTGGTACTCACCTTCATCCATTCAAAAACTATCTCCTAGAATCTTGAATATAAAGAAAATGACAAAATGGCAACATTTCCCCCCAAAATTATTCTTCTAAAAATAAGGGTTTTGCCTTGTTTTCTGGTCTTTTCCAAATATCCCCCCCCCCCCCCTTTTTTTTTTCCAGATTGCTCTCCTATTCACTTTAAGAGCCAAAAAAACTGCTTGGAAAGAAACATTGGCCTGAAACTCCTCCGTAAACACTAGTTTGGGGGGGCTGTGGAGAGGGGCACCTGTCAGGATGGGTAAAACAAAGGTTTTAAAAATGTGTTTCCACAGACGGAAGTAGTTGTCAATAAGACTTAAAAAGAAACTTCTAATGCATTGCAATTAGTTCCTAGAAATCCACAAACATACAACTACAGAGAGAATTTTTGAAAATATTGCTTGAAGGCATGAATGAGTTCTTGTGTTTGAAACAACATTTCCTGAGACATCAACAATCATAGATCCAAGAAGTATTGTATCAAAACATTCAGATGGAAGTAAAAATAATGGGCTCTGGACAACTTGAAGATAACTCTAAATGTGCAGATAACAAAACTCTGAAGGCCAAAGGCACATGAGAAAGGCGTAAATTAAGTATTTTCATAAACTATAAGTAAGCTTTAAAAGAAAGGAAAATTTCTAAATTAATATGAGACTACCAACATTTGCAGCTAGATTAATGAATGTTAGAAGTAATCATCTATCTCATCTACAACACTCAAATTTATTTATCCATACTGGCCTAAAATGCCATTTTTGGATCTTCTCCCTCAGTATTTCCTTAAGATCAACATCATCCTATTTCTCGCTATTTATATAGTAGTGATATCTTTTTTTTTTAAGATTTTATTTATTTATTTGACAGAGAGCACAAGTAGGCAGAGAGGCAGACAGAGAGAGAGAGGAAGGGAAGCAGGCTCCCTGCTGAGTAGAGAGCCCGATGTGGGGCTCAATCCCAGGACCCTGGGATCATGACTTGAGCCAAAGGCAGAGGCTTTAACCCACTGAGTCACCCAGGCTCCCCAATATATTAGTGATTTCTATCGGTTCATTTTTTGAGGGAGGGTGAAGAGATTCTTTAAAAAAAAGTAAGTTTATATTCCCCATCATTTTTTTTCATTATTTTTTTGTAATAGAAATTGCTTACAATTAAAATTCTCTTTTCCAAAGTTTGATCTTCCTCATCCTCAAGCTGGAAAGTTCTGAAGCTACTATCCTAGAGCGTAACTTTCTGTGTTGAAAAGAGTAGATCATACTCCAAAAATAGAGATGGGGGCGCGTGGGTGGCTTAGTGGGTTAAAGCCTCTGCCTTAGGCTCAGGTCATGATCCCAGGGTCCTGGGATTGAGCCCCGCATCAGGCTCTCTGCTCAGCGGGGAGCCTGCTTCCCCCTCTCTCTCTGTCTGCCTCTCTGCCTACTTGTGATCTCTGTCTGTCAAATAAATAAATAAAATCTTTAAAAAAAATAGAGATGAAGTAAGTCCTACATTACCTTGACCATGCATAAAATCTGTACCTTATTCTTTGTATTTATGCATTTGCTTGGTAAACAGCATCTGTCACATACGCATCTCCATTGTTAGTATAACGGGTTAATCCAGCAATAAGAGGACAGTCACCCTCGATCAGACATTGGAATGCCTGAATTACTCTCCTCTCAGTCAAGTACAACTCAGCACAAAGCATGCCTGCTCTTGCCTCTGTCTTCAAAGTCCAAGTTAGTGAACCACCAAGAGTAACTTTGTGTAAGACCCTGTCAACCACAAAGTGGTTCCACGGCCAAGAATTTGGTTATTATTTCAGACCACTGCCAGCTAAACGGGTTTTCATGCTTAAATTTATGAACCACCACATCCTCTCGCATGCTGAAGAATGAAAATCTCTCAGCACAGAGCCCCACCAAGGAGGTCTAAGGCAGGAGGTCCAATCTGTCTTCTGAAGCACTATAATTAAAAAATTTCTCAGGAAATTAATTTAACAAAGAAAGAAGTCCCGGCACGAACCATCAATTACTTGAAAAAATAATTTTGTGAAAAACGGTAATTAAGTGAAAAAAACTGCTTGACTGCCTCTTTTTATTTTTCCTTCTATTCCTCTATTTGAAAGAGTGTGATTGCTTGTATATACGCTTCCGCTTATTAAAACATTTCGCTTTGCCATCAGATCATTTCCAAACAGGAAATAAGTAAAAACAGAAAACTGATTAAAGATGTTTATACCTGAGAAATCTGCTGCTAGGAGATCTACCGCCTTTAAAACCTTCACTTGTAAAATGCCGACATCCTTCATATCTTTCAGAGAATTCTGGAAGCACTGAGGGGGAAGAAAAGTAGATCAGACATGAAAAGAGCTTTCTAATATACTATTTAATGCTGTAAAGTCCTACAGGAAGTACATCAGGCTTTATCATCATCTTTCTCGTGCAAAGCTTAGAAAAGTTCCAGAGTACACTGTATCAGCCAATGGGACAGTTGGGCATTCACAACAAGCAGATGTGAAAAGTGACTGAGAATTGAGGACAGCATCAAACCAACTACAAAGCACACAAGATCTACCTTTAACACTGCCCCCTGGTGACAGCACAGCTACCCCACCGGAAAAATGTATGTGGAGCTCCATTCATTCTCTTCTCCCCTTTGTTTCTCTTGCATGAAGCTTTTAAATCACTCAAAGAGGCAACACTATTTTGGCTTCATTGGTACCAACTTTATGGAGACCAGAGGGCTCAACGTGGACCCTTCACAGATACCTATTACCACTGGAAAGAGTGAGGATGGAAATACAGGGCATTTCTGGTCCACGTTTTAGCTGGCGCATTAAATTAGAGACTGAGCATCTAGTATCATCCTGTACCCACATTTATTTGATTTTTTTTTTTTTTTTCGTTTGCATGAGCCAATGACTGAATGTATCTACTGATAATTCTTAAGCATGCAGAACAATAGTTCACTGTGTATATACATTGACTCCTTCAGAAATGGTGCATGAAAGAGACAAGTGGATAAACTATTTCTGCATGCCTCTAGGACACATCTGCTGAAAAGATTCTGTTTTCAAACTTTTGGATATCTTATTTCCGCTATCATCGGATAACTAAAAACCTGTGATAAGCAGGCCTTGGGGATTTATGGGAAGACAGTAAAATCCTTGTTCTTTAGGCATTTCAGGATACAATAATAATAACTTACTAATAGTTCAGGTTTAACTAACTTCATATGCACCATTTCGAGGCAGCTTTGAAAGTTGTTACTGCTGTGTATTTTCAACCTAACAAACAAAGCAAAACAAAACGAAAACGAAAACAAAAAGAACTAGCTTACACTCATCTGAAAACATCTGAAATAAAATACTTTTATAGTTTAAATGTGGAAATGCCTTCAAGATGATCTATTCTTACAAGCTGAAAAACAAGAGGTCTGAAACTTGTGTTTTATGACGGGGCATTCTTTTCCTCTAACATGCTGGCCAGCTCTCTAGCTGAAAAAAACAAAACAAAACACTTGATATTTCTATTTTGATTGGCCTCTTCAAACTTATTTTCCCTGAGTACTCCTCACATCCCAAGGCATGATTCAAAGCAGTCATTATGAACTTTTCTAAAATCACTTTAGAAGTACAGGTCACCCCTCGTGAATTCGGTAAATTTTGCAATTTTGTCCGTGGGAAAGTTTGGGGGAGAAGTTTTAAGGTTTATCATCAAATTTTTATTTGCTTAACTGCAAGTCATCGGAGAGCATATTAATAGTGGATTTTGTAGAAACTCCTTTAGAACCTGCCAACCAAGGCACACAGAGTCTGTGTTGACAATAAGACATGTGGCTAGGTTTTTGTACTCCCGCAGATAAAGAATTATTCAATTAATCAATACGTCTCACGGTGAAGGATTTGGGAGGCACTACAGTTTATGCTGAGAATAATATTCCCATTAAATAGGGTTTCATCTTTGCTTCATTTTCGGGCCGCTTTCTAAAACATGTCTTTCATGTGTGGCGATAAAATAAATGTATTGATTTACAAAGAAGGCGGGATAAAAACAGAATGCAAATAAAGGCATCTAGAAAACCAGAGTACAAAAAAATAAATGAAGATCGCAAAGCCATTGACTTAAAAATGCTGAGTGGACTTTTAACCGTATTGCCACTACTTAGGCAAAAATCAGGAGCTGTCTTTATTATCCAGAGTCGTACAGAACAGCTCTGCGGGCCTGTCCAGAGCTTTGCTTTGCTCTACAAGACAGAGGCACATTCTCACTCGATCCTGAGAGGTTCTGGAAAGGTAGCTCTGACACTGCAAATATTACAGCTAATTAAAAAAAAAAAAAAACTTTGGTGAACTTGTATTAAAATTTCTATATACATATGCAGACATGGGCATATGTATTGCCTCCTTGTGCATTTCCATTTTCTCCCAAGAGTTTCTAAAAGCTAACAATTCAGAATACCGTTTGGGGCTTTGAAAATCGCCAGCTCCAATCTACTTCCACCTTCTCGCTAATGCATTAACCTTTGGATCTGATGTCTTGTTTTATGAGACAGGCTGTGAAACTCGGGCCAAGGATCTCTTTTCAGGCAGTTTTTTTTAACTCGCAGACTTTGTTTCAACTCAAAAGCGGAGGTGACGGGGAGCAGCGTAACAAGGCCAAACACTCACGTATCGCTGGGCAATCTGCTTTCTCTCGCCGGGGTCTGCCAAGGGGCACACACACAGATCTGAGACCGAGACTCCGGCACAGGGAGTAAGTGTGATCAACATCAGGAGAGCCCCCAGGCAGCTCTCCAGCGGCAGCTCCAAGCAGTTAGCTTGCTTGAGAGGGAGGGCTGAGATATCCACTTTGCACCTGGAAAAGTTGGAGGAATCAGAAAGAAAAGGGATTAACTCATGGCCTTTCTGAACCTCCAAAGAACTGAGTTATATCCCCTTATCCCCCAAACTTCACTCTGTCTCAGCATGGGTTTCTTGCACAGTGAAGGTGATGGGGTCTCCCCCTACCGTCCAGCTCTTAATTCTCCCTCCCAGCCTAACACACTCTAAGATTAAGGAGACGAAGAGGTCAAGACACCAAAGGCAGCACGAGGGGATGGTAAGTGCAAAGAGAAGAGTCAGATCTTTGCCCCATGAGGTCTGCAGAAAGGCGGTGAGCTCAAGAAATAGGGAGGAACAAGCTCCAAGTTCAAGCATTATGGATGAGGGCTCTGTAGGGCTTCTCTGTATCATGTCTTTTGCCAGCAAAGAGAATAAAGGGTCACAGTTCAAAAGGGAGAGAAAAGACAAGAGAAATTCAAGCGTCAAAGGGTTCCTGGGAGAAACTATTTTCTTCCGGATTAATGCCAACTGGTGCGTTTTTATTTAAAGCAACGTGTTAAGGTGTTTTCCTAATAGGCACGGTTCCACAGGGTTTCCCCAGGTGCACTGATGTGGACAAATGGAGCGTGAAGTGCACTTGACAGATCCCATTCCAGCAACACAGCCAGGAAAAGGCTTCACCCATCTGCTGTAAACTGCATGTTTTCCGTCTCTCAACAGTCAATGTTCTGGGGATGTCGAAAACCTCAAACACATTTATATATGGAAACAAACACCAAAAAGGAGGGCTGAGGTGCTAAGCCATTTATTTGTTTTAACACTGAAAACTCTGGGTTTGCCTGGACCACACCTGCTTTGTGAATGCACAGGTGGGTGGAAAAGGTAGGGTCGAGTCGGGGGAGGGAGGTGGGCAGTGGTGGTTCCCAGCTGTAATACATGTGTGTGCATGTACCCATGTGGAATTCCTATTTTCCCCCAATAGTTATTGAAAGAGATGAGTAATCAAGACTTTAGAAAGGAAGCACCTTCTCTCACGATGTGGGAAAAGGATGGATTCTTACCCTAAATCTTCAGCGGACTCTGTATGTTTGCAGATCATTAAAAATAGGTAATCTTACCTAACATAGAAAGCAATGGCCATTTTGAGTCACGTGATATCTAATGAGTTCCAGTTTCACACATTCAAAAACCTTGCAATCCCTTCGCAATTAAAGAAAAAAAAATCTGTAATACTAAAAGTCTATACCAGTTTTTACTACAGAATCAAAAAATGTATTTTAATACTGATATGTACCTATAAAATTAAATATGTGTGGGTATTTATTTCACTACCAAAAGTGATTCCAGTTAGAAGAGGTAGCAATTAGAGCTTTTGCATGTAATAAATTCATCAAGAATTTCTACCAGAGACACATCCACAAAAAAAAAAAAAAATTCTTTAAATAATCCTGTGTCTTGAATCAAAACATTTTTGTGTGTGTATATAGCAATAAAGACCCTTTTAAAGTTTGCTACCATGAAAATAAGGGTTACTAAATATTTTTATTTCATAAGCACGTATGTAAGTGAGGAATTAATTTTGCTTATAAAGAAAGAAATGTTATGTGCTTTAAGCCATTTCTACAAAACTAAATACCCATAAATTCTTAACCAATAGAACAGTAGCACATCTGCTCTGGAACACTTTGCTAAGCATTATTTTACATTGTTGCATACACTTTGATTGAACAAAGCTCTTCACGGAAAGATAAATGATCCAACTTTGTAAGAATTTTTTTCTGGTGGTCACACTCATTAGTCCAAATTAGCAATAACCTATTTATGGTACAATCATGTCAATGTCATTAGGAGGAGGTAATTTATTTTCATCCTTCGACGACCACGTCTCTGTTGTAGTGGTGGTTTCGCTTGTTTTTTTGAACAGCCAGAAGTGACTTGGAGGCAAGAGACAAATAATGTTTGGGAATTAAAAAGGATGCCTACAGTAAGTTTTTCTTGGATGAATCAAAATGAACCTTACGTTAATTCTAAAAAGTCATCTAAAAAGGCTGTGAGCAGTATTAGCATTTTTAGGATAACTATGCACACTCTCCCAGTGCCTGTGTGAAGGCAGAACTCATTGGAAGAGAGCAACTTCCTATTTCAAACAAAAGTTGAATCACGTACCAGACAAAATGCAAAGTAACCACTGGGTTTGGTCTTAGAAATTACACATTTCCACAAACTTGTTCGTCATGTCTCTCCCCTGTGAAACTTTTGCACTGCTCCCATTTCTAAAGTCTATGTGGATGGACAGGAAAAGAGCCCTGCCTGTTTTAGATAAAACAGTTCCCACAAACAACAGACTGGGGATTTCTGCACGAGCTTACTGGGTTCTACATGATCAGTTAACTGAAGAGTGTATTCAGTCAAATATTTTTACTTCCATAGTGACTTGAAAGAACAAATTAAACTGGTAGACTGCCATCATGTCAATCATAATTAAACACTGATCCTTTTACACATGGGTTATGACCCAGCCTCCTGGGTACCTGCCCCATTATGCGAATTGGTATCTTAAGAATTAAGGACTGATTTACTGCTACCCCCTGCCTAGGGTGAACAACTACTGCCCTCTAAAGATGTCGTCTTTTTGTTTTGTTTTGTTTTGATTTGGTTTGGGTTTTTTGTAAGATCCATATGGAATGTAGGACTTGAATTTACAACTGTGAGATTAATGGCCACAGGCTTTACTGACTAAGCCAGCCAGGTGCCCCTACTAGAGATGACTTTCTATAAACTTTCTACAATTGAATTACCCTCTGCCTCTGTTCTACCCATCTGGCATCTGCATTTACATCCACATTCTTGAAGAAAGGAGGAAAGCTGGAAGAAAGAAGAAATTAATTCCCTACAAGAATCTCCTCCAGGCCTCCCATGTTACTCTATTTCAACCTCGGTCCACATTGTTCCAGCTCATCCTCATGTCTCAAGGAGAACCAGAAGCTCTGGAGGTTAGCCAGAGGCTGGAAGAATTATTTATATTAACTCCAAGCGAGGAAGAGGTACTGCATTATCAGCAAGAGCAGAAGGAAAAAAATTTTAAGAGGATTTGTCTCATGCAAACTGGTGCAGCCACTGTGGAGAACAGTGTAGCATTTCCTCAAAAAGTTAAAAGTTGAACTCCCTTATGATCTAGCAATTGCATCACCGAGTATTTACCCAAAGAATACAAGAACGCTAATTCAAAGGGATACACGCACCCCTGTGTTTATAGCAGCATTGTTTACAATAGCCAAGATAGGGAAGCAGCCCAAGCATCCATCAACTGATGAACAGAAAAAGATGATGTGGTGTATACATGCAACGGAATATTACTCAGCCAGAAAGAATGCAATCTTGCTATTTGCAATGACAAGGATGTGGCTACACAGTATAAGGCTAAGTGACTGAAGTCAGTCAGTGAAAGACAAATATTGTATGATTTCACTCATATGTGGAATTTAAGAAACAAAACAACCAACCAAAGGAAAAAAAGAGAGAGAAATCAAGAAACAGATCTTAACTGTAGAGAACACACTGCTGCTTACCAGAGAGGAAGTGAATGGAGGGAGGGGAGAAACAGGACATGGGGATGAAGGAGGGCACTTGTGATGAACACAGGATGATCTATGAAAGGGTTGAATCACCATATTGCACACCTAACATGACTATAACACTGTATATCAACTCACTGGAGTTAAAATAAAAACTTAAGAAAATAAAAAAAAATTAAAAATATAAAAGATTGGTCTTTCCGAATTTCTGATGTTAGCACCATAACTGAACCTCCCAAAGAAAGGTAAGTATTGTGTGTACAAAACATCTTCTATTTATTTTTTTTGAGGTTCAAGTAAAGATAAGTACTCTAAAGTCTAAAATCTTTAAGACAAAAGAGATAATCTGAAATACATCCATCGAAGACATTTTTAATACAGAAATTTGGAAAGGAGAATTTAGGTTGTTTCTTCCATTTTCTAAAGGGTGTCAGATTCTGCCCTGAGAAAATACCAAATGATTTAGTTGGTCTCCTAATTCTCTCTTGGTGCTACTGAATCACTACAGAATCTGTTGCATCCTCTAAATTTCATCCCAAACTCTACACAAGTGGCAACCTTTTAGAAGCATTTATGAAAGCTGAGCTTACTAGTGTATATGTGAATTTTCATTGAAAAGTAAACTCAGTTTTCGGGCATATGATCTAAATGGCTCTCCTAATTAATTTTTCAATTATCACATCAATTAATAAATAAATAATAGGCACTTAAACTATTTTTTCTACGAAGGGCCATAAAGCAAATACTTAAAGTTGATAGGCCATGTGGTCTCTGTTGAAACTACTCAAGTCCCCTTGTAGCATGAAATAGACCATGTAAACAAATGAACAAGGCTGTTATCCAATAAAACTTCATTCAAAAATAGGCAGCCATATGGACTTGGCCCATGGGCCCTAGTTGTCTAACCCCTGATCTGTAGACATCTTCATAATTTGGCCATCACAAATTACATCCACGCTAGTATCTTAAAAATTTAAAAGGCTGGTTGCTGACAACACAAACACATTGACAAAGGCATCAGGGAAACTGACCTAAAAAATAATTTTGAAAGCCTAACTTTTTAAATTCTTTTTTATTTATTTAAGAAATCCCTACACCCCACATGGGATCTGAACTCATGACATCAAGATCGAGAGCCACATGCTCTTCCAACTAGCCAGCCAGGCGCCCCGAGAGCATAACTTTTAACTCACTATAATCCTAGAAACTCTGGCCAACATATCCAATGATGGACTGAATAAAAACCAATAAAGCAATAAAACTTATAAACCTGCTCTTCTTTCTGTTGGGAAACATGTGGAAAACACACATTGTTCACATACATGTGATTAATGAGTCTTACCAAATTAGGTCTGTTCCTGTGGCTTTATGTGTGACTTCACACACAAGAGAAGTGGCTATGTTTGGACAGTCATTCAGAAGGTGCTACATGCTGGCCCTTAGATCACCAGGAAATTCT